TGAGGAGAGGCTTCTGTGTGGGCACTCTGCCATAAAGCCCAGATCGGTGGAGGGCTGCTGTGATGGTTGTCCTTCTGGAACATTGTCCCTTCTCCACACAGGATCTCTGAGCTTAGAGTGACCATAGGGTTTTTGGTCACCTCTCTTACTAAGGCCCTTCTCCCACGATTCCTCAGTTTGGCTGGGCAACCAGCTCTTGGAAGAGTCCTGGTTGTGACAAACCTCTTCCATTTGAGAATTATGGAGGCCACTGTGCTCTTGGGAACCTTCAGTGTCTTGCAATAATCCTGTCTCTGAGCTCTGCAGGCAGTTCCTTTGACCTCTTGCTCTGACACAGTATGCATTGTCAGCTGTGAGGCCTTTTATACAGAGGTGTGCCTTTTCGAATCATGTCCAATCAATTTAATTTACCACAGGTAGACTCCAATCAAGATGTATAAACATCTCAGCAATGTCCAAGAGAAACGGGAGGCATCTGAGCTAAATTTCAAGTGTTGTTGCAAAGGGTCTGATTACTTATGCCAATGTGATATTTTGTTTTTTTTCCTTTTGCATAAATTTGCCAACATTTCTAAAATTCTGTTTTCACTTTGTCATTATGGGGTACTTAGTGTAGATTAATGAGAAATAAAGTGAACTTAAAAACAACTGTAGTGTCAGGCTGCAACATAACAACATTGAAAGAAGCAAAGCGGATCTGAATACTTTATGAATGCACAATATATATACATCTATGTGTGTAATATATTGTATATATATATATATATATATATATATATATATATATATATTCTTTAACTTAGACTTATTTAAATGTAATCACATGTTCTCTTGGTTTTCCAGTCTCTGGCATACCATACAGTAGTACCGCAGATCTTTCTCTTAGGCAGTTGCTGCTTTATTTTGCATAATTTGGCTTTTAACATTTACTATAGACATCACTCAATATTCCCCTAATATTCAGGCAGAATTAATTAGAAAGAGGAATTATGCAATTGACTTTTGACTAAATGACCATTGATGCACTGGTCTGCAAGTAGTTATATAGTAATGTGGAAGTGAATAGAATGGTGACTGTACATTTAGAAAGTTATGCTGCAGATGATTAGTGACAAATTTGATTAGTATAAGACAGATTTATTGATGGGACTTATGTTGAACCATTTTTTCCTGTAGAGATTCCTGAAAGTATGTCATTGGATTCTCTGTTCAATTGGATCTAGGCAGTGCAGCCAGGACCAAGGTGACATCATGGAAGCCGGAATCGAGGTAACTTCAAGTAGAGCAGACGGGATCGAATTAGTCAATACAGCCAAGCCCAAGCAGACCTCATTAGGTAGTGCAACCAAGATCAAGGTCACATCAATAGGCAGTGCAGCCCAGAACCAATGTGGCCTCTTTAGGCTAAAAAGTCGGGATCAAGGTGACATCATGTGCTGACAGAATCAAGGTAACTTCATTAGTTAGTACAGACAGGATCAAAGTGACCTTATTAGGTAATACAGCCAAGCCCAAGGTGACCTCATTAGACAGTGCAGTCCAAAGCCAAGGTGACCTCTTTAGGCAACAAAGATAATATCAAGGTGATCCCATTAGGCCTAGCTCCCATCTGTCTCTCATTTGAAGGGACTGGCCCTGTATGGGAACCAACCCCCCCTCCTTTTTTTTTTTTTCTTTTCCACCTCAGCTGTCCATCTTTTTGGTCTAATGTTGAGAAATGTAGTGCTAACAAAAGTTTGACTTGTAGGTTTAACTTTTTTGGTTTACTAATTCTTCATGGTTCACATAAACATGGCAGGGGTTTGTCCTTTGCTTACATACTTTCTACTAAAAGGTGTCCTTCTTTGTCATCTAAAAAAAAAGTTGGAAGGTATGCTGGTTAGGCAATGCAAGCAGAACTAAGGTGACCTTATTAGGCAGTGCAGTCAGGATCAAAGTGACCTCATTAGGCAATGCAAATAAGACCAAGGTGACCTCATTATCAGTGCAGTCATGATCAATGTGGCCTCAGAGGCAGGCAAGCTTAGGGTGACCTCATTAGGTAGTGCAGATAGGACCAACATGACTTCCTTGGACAGTGCAAGCAGTACAGACATGACCAAGGTGGCATCATTAGACAATGCAGCCATAATCAAGGTAACCTCATTAGGCAGTCTGGATCAATGGGACCTCCTTTGCAGTCAGGGTCAAAGTGGCCTCATTGTGCAATGCAGATAGAATCAAGTGCCTGTACCTTTATAAAACCCATGTTTCTACTATCGCATGCTCTCCTTAGTGTAAAATATTTTTTTTTATTGTATGACTATTTTTAGAACCATTTTCAGATTTATGTTGCTATAATCTAATTGGGGAGCATAACTCCTCACTTACAGTCTCATTGGATAATGGTTCCATGGATTTTTGGTAAAAAACAAGACCATTTTTTTAATACAGTTTGGAGTGTTAGAACCTATGCCAGATATATATTGGTGGCTGTGTCCTGTTGGGGAGCCCCCCCTCATGTCCTGTCCCAGGGATCACTGCTGGTGGACAGTAAGTGAGGGGAAATCTTCTCAACAGGGCACAGGCAACAATACATACTGTATCTAACATACACATTATGACCACCCATCATAACATTGTGAACACCTGTCTAATATTGCTTCCAAAACAGCCCTGACCCATAAAGGCATGGACTCCACTAGACAAAGCATCACACTGCCTTGCCTTTATCCCAAAGTGCCATCTCTTCCCCAGTTAAGCAAACCCACCTGGCCATCACATCCACATGATGTAAAAGAAAATGTGATTAATCATACCAGGCCACTTTCTTCCAGTGCTCTGTGGTCCTGTTCTGATGCTCACATGCCCATTGTAGGAACTTTTGGCTATGGACATGGTTCATCATGGGCACCCTGACTGGTCTGTGGCTATGCAGCCCCATACTCAACAAACTGGTCTGCACTGTGTGTTCTGACTCCTTTTTAATGGAACCAGCATTAACTTTTTCAGCAATATGAACTACAGTAGCTCTCCGTTGAATCGGACTACACAGGCCAGCCTTCGCTCACCTTGAGCATCAGTGACCCTTGACTGCCCATGACCCTGTTGTCGGTTTGCTGGTCTTCCTTCCTTAGACCACTTTTGGTGGGTCCTGACCACTGCAGACCAAGAACATCTCACAAGAGCTGCATTTTTTGAGTTGTTCTGACCCAGTCGTCTAGACATTACAAATTGGCCAATGTCAAATTTGCTCAAATCCTTACACTTGTCAATTTTTTCTGCTTTCAACATATCAACATGAGGGACAACATGTTTACTTGCTGCCTAATATGTCCCAACCACTTTTGGGTGCCAATGTCATGAGAGAATCAATGTTATTCGCTTTACCTGTCAGTAGGTCTTCTATTGGATTGGACTATGCGTCCACATGCATAAGTGAACTTTGACCACCCATAACCCTGTTTCCATTTTGCTTGTTCTAATTCCTTGGGCCACGTTTTGGTTGGTCCTGACCACCTCAGACCGCAAACATCCCACAAGAGCTGCAGTTTTGGAGTTGCCTTGACCAAGTTATCTAGCCGTTACAATTTGACCCTTATCAAAGTCTATACAAATCCTTACACTCGCCCATTTTTCTGCTTTCAACACATCAACTTCAGTCACAACATGTTCACTTGTCTAATATGAACCCCCCCACACACACACACACACACACACACACACACACACACATTTTAGGGTGCCATTGTCATCACATAAACCATGTTATTGTCTTTGCCTGTCATAATGCGATGGTAGATTGGTGTAGGTTCTAATACCCCCAACTGTATTCCAAAAATTGTCTTGTTACTTACTATCATCGGGACCATATATGATGAGTAATGCTCCACACGGGGTAATGAGTCCTAGACATCAGTGAAAAAAAAAGACACAAATGAGTTAATGTTACCATTCTACAGAACCTTCATAATTAAACATTATAGGTATCCCTGGTGTCCATCCTTTTTAACTTTTCTGAGTACATCGCCTGTTCTGTCAAAACTAGGACATTTCGGAGACATGCCTCCTAGCTTTTAATTGTACGCTGTGATTCCCTATTAATGAAAAAAAATATGGCTTGCAGCTATACAACAAACAAATACATTGTCTATCAGTGCAGGTCTGGAACTCAATTATCATACCAGAAACACAATGGTAGAGTTGTAATAAAATAACGATGCAATTTATATATAGCACAAGGTCCTCGGCCTTCCTCACATCTTGCATTATGCTATTTTACCTTTACGACACGTATTAACCTGATGTTATGCTCGGGTTTTCTCGCTTGTCGCGCTGAATGGGATTATATAATGAACACTTCCACACTTCAGCATAACCAGGGAAAAAAAAGATTAAATTGAGAGCTATCGCCGCTTTGCACCTGTGCTTTCAATAACTATTTCACATGTAAAGATGGGAGCTCCAAGAAGGACTGGGGGACGATCGGGCGCACGTGTTATGCAAATTGGAGAAAGTAGTAAAAGAGAAAAAAAAAATGCAAGCCCATGAATATGGTCTACGAAGCTGATTGATTTAATATCAAAGATTATCCATTCATCATAAAAAGGGCTCTTGATATCAGCGCATTATTACGGAAGATCAAAGGGATGAGTAATCATGAACAAGTTCCCATTCGTAGCGCGGAAGGTTGATAAAGGAGGCAGATAATTGGAGAAGAGATAGCCTAATCTGATATTGGCACCAAGAAAGAAAAGAGATAGATGAGGTAATTGCAGATGGGGTATGATGTCACCGTGGGTGTAGACCAGAGAGGGTCAGTTTTCATGATATGGGGGGCCTCAAGTGTGGCCCTTGACATCACCAAAGGGCTGCACATAAAATTCTGCGCATATTCAGTGTCTGAGACAGCAGACACACAACAGGATATAGTCAAAGTCAATGGATGTGATACTAGAGATGATAAGAGATTGCAGATATAATACAGGAGATAGTCAGAGGCTGCGGACTTAATACAGAAGATGGTCAGAGACTGCAGGAATAATACAAGAGATGGTCAGAGATTGCAGACATTATACAAGAGATGGACAGAGACTGCGGACATGCTACATGAGCTGGACAGAAACTGGAGACATGATACAAGAGATGATCAGAGACAGCAGAAATTATATTGGAGATGGTCAAAGACTGAATATAATACAGGACATGGACAGAGACTGCGGACATGATACAAGAGATGGTCAGAGACTGTGGACATGATACTAGAGATGGTCAGAGACTGCAGACATGATACAAGAGAAGGTCAGAGCCTGCATGCATGATACAAGAGATGGTCAGAGCCTGCAGACATAATACAAGAGATGGTCAGAGTCTGCAGACATGATACAAGAGACAAAGACTGTGAATATCATACAGGAGATGGCCAGAGACTGCAGACATTATACAGAAGATGGTCAGAGACTGCAGACATGGTACAGAAGATGGTCAGAGACTGCAGACATGGTACAGGAGATGGTCAGAGACTGCAGATATGGTACAGGAGATGGTCAGAGACTGCAGATATGATACAGGAGATGGTCAGAGACTGCAGACATGGTACAGGAGATGGCCAGAGACTGCAGACATGGTACAGGAGATGGTCAGAGACTGCAGACATGGTACAGGAGATGGTCAGAGACTGCAGACATGGTACAGGAGATGGTCAGAGACTGCAGACATGGTACAGGAGATGGTCAGAGACTGCAGACATGGTACAGGGGATGGCCAGAGACTGCAGATATGATACAAGAGAAAGCAGAAATTATATAAGAGATAATCAGAGAGACTGCGAACATGCTAAAGGAGTTACAAGGGAAGACAGGATCCAGAATTTACTGCACTTCGATAATCTTTATTCATATATCCATAAAATCATCACAGACAGTGTTGAGAACAGTAGAAAGTTAACAGTAGAAAGATCTAGTTTGGATTTCTCCAATAGCACCCACTAAAAGTGATGGAGGGTATAATTCCTCCCACAACCACGAAGCAAAGCTTTACAGCCATGGCATGTTTACTCCACTCACTGCTGCCTCTGCATCTAAAGGGTGTAGCAGTTAGAGAGCGCTAAATGCGTAGCTCCACCATGAGGTTTTTTTTTCGCCTGCTAGTGTGAACGAACCCTTTAGAGTATCTGTTTAGATAAAATTATCTGTTGATCTTGCAGAAATCCAGTGAGCTAACATGTCTGCTGCAATGAAATTCCAATGAGTCTTATCAAGCCTGTCTAAGTTCCCTATGTAGACTACAGAACACCCCTCCCCCATTTTATGGAGATGGGGGGGGGAACTGTAGTTCAAATCAGAGGCAAGTATCTTACGGTGACAATGCTGCCCTTAAATAGACACACTGTGTGGCCTGGTTCACACCTATATGTTTTTGGTTCTTTTTGCAGAAACACGCTACAGTCCATTTCACATGGTTTCCTATGGGACACATTCACATCTATGCCTATTTCAGCTGCAACGTTTTTAGAAAGGGTCAGGGACTTTAAACGCAAAACAGTGCATTTTTGGTTCAATAGGGACACTGCAGAAAGGCATGTACTGCGTTTTTGATGTGTTTTTGACGTGTTTTGGATTTTATAAAATCTGCCCAACAACAAATTGGCAAAAAAAAGCAGAAAAAAACAAAATACATCAAAAAACGCGTGAAAAACGAGTGTACAAGAACACAAAATGCACCGCAAAAAGCAATGGAGAAACAGATCAGAAGAAAACTGTGTAAGTGTGAACCAAGCCATGTGTTGTCACCCTGTTACTGGCAGGATCAGCAGGCAAAATGAAAGGTTAGCTTGAAAATCAAGGAAAACTAATGTAGTCAGCACGTCTTTAATATCCTTTTAGTTTCCTTTATTTTTCCCCTAGTATAGTTTTTTTTTTTTTTTGGGTGGGGGGAGGAAAAAATAAGGTTATTATTATTTCTTTATGTAGTGCTATTAAATGTCAATATATGAAACCTTTGAAATCCATATGCACCACTAGAACAGAAGTGCTGCAAAATGCACGGTATGGACATCGATCGGGGCAGTTCGCAGAGATGCAATAAGGAACCAAGAATCCCATCTGTGTCACATCAAATGGCACAATAATACAAGTCACATCTGTGCATATCAGGAGCCCTCGTCATTAGGATTTGTCAATACTGTACATCTCTTCCCTTACTAGGAAATGGCTTGTGAATGAGGGAAAGATAAATGACTGCATTAGACTTCAATCTGAAAACATAAGATATGAGAGCAATTCAACTTCTGACCATCACAGGTCAATAGCTTGCTGATGGTCCAAATTGATTCACTTGTCAAAGATAAATGACAGTAGCATACCTCCCAAATGTCACCGTTTTAGTTACAGAAGCTGCTTTCCAGGATAGATCTAGGCAATGGGTAAGACCTTTTTAGCGATGCGAAAACCTGTCAGGCGATCCCAATGTTATCATTGAATCCTATTGAGGCCTTTGGGGGGGAAAGGGGTGCAATTATTTTAGCAAATTTTGGCATGGGGATGATAGACAAACTATTGCAAAAAAAAGGCATGGGAAGCCAAGTACTGCCATGGGGGACATGTATAAATAGCAAAATAATGTTTTAAGAATATTGCACTGCAGGGTCCATTTCATGATGCTTGAAGAGCTATATGGAAAAACCACAAAATCTTCAAATTACAGGGTTGGGTAATGTGTCTTAGGAGCAGGGTCCATTTCATGATGCTTGGAGAGCCATATGGAAAAACCACAAAACCTTCAAATTACAAGGTTGGGTGATGTCTTAGGACCCGGGTCCATTTCATGATGCTTGGAGAGCCATATGGAAAAACCACAAAACCTTCAAATTACAAGGTTGGGTGATGTCTTAGGACCCGGGTCCATTTCATGATGCTTGGAGAGCCATATGGAAAAACCACAAAACGTTCAAATTACAGGGTTGGGTGATGTCTTAGGAGCAGGGTCCATTTTATGATGCTTGGAGAGCCATATAGAAAAACCACAAAACGTTCAAATTACAGGGTTGGGTGATGTCTTAGGACCCGGGTCCATTTCATGATGCTTGGAGAGCCATATGGAAAAAACCACAAAACCTTCAAATTTCAAAGTTGGGTGATGTCTTAGCACCCGGGTCCATTTCATGATGCTTGGAAAGTTATATAGAAAAACCACAAAATCTTCAAATTACAGGGTTGGGTGATGTCTTAAGACCAGGGTCCATTTCATGATGCTTGGAGAGCCATATGGAAAAACCACAAAACCTTCAAATTACAAGGTTGGGTGATGTCTTAGGACCCGGGTCCATTTCACGATGCTTGGAAAGTTATATAGAAAAACCACAAAATCTTCAAATTACAGGGTTGGGTGATGTCTTAAGACCAGGGTCCATTTCATGATGCTTGGAGAGCCATATGGAAAAACCACAAAACCTTCAAATTACAAGGTTGGGTGATGTCTTAGGACCCGGGTCCATTTCACGATGCTTAGATAGCCATATAGAAAAACCACAAAACCTTCAAATTACAAGGTTGGGTGATGTCTTAGGACCAGGGTCCATTTCATGATGCTTGGAGAGCCATATGGAAAAACCACAAAACCTTCAAATTACAAGGTTGGGTGATGTCTTTGGACCCGGGTCCATTTCATGATGCTTGGAGAGCCATATGGGAAATACCACAAAACATTCAAATTACAGGGTTGGGTGATGTCTTAGGACCAGGGTCCATTTCATGATGCTTAGATAGCCATATGGAAAAACCACAAAACATTCAAATTACAGGGTTGGGTGATGTCTTAGGACCCGGGTCCAGTTCATGATGCTTAGATAGCCATATGGAAAAACCACAAAACATTCAAATTACAGGGTTGGGTGATGTCTTAGGTCGACCCGGGTGCATTTCATGATGCTTGGAGAGCCATATGGAAAAACCACAAAACCTTCAATTTACAGGGTTGGGCGATGTCTTAGGACCCATTCACATTGCCCCAGATGACTGCCGCACACTAAACCGCAGTGGTTTAGTGTGTGGCAGCTGTCCTTTCTGGCTGCAGTGAGCCGGCAGTAGGGGGCAGTGATATGCACATTTCAGCCTATCACACACTGTAATTTCTTTTTATAAACTCAGGTTTATTTGAAGTCTACAAATGTCATGTCACTGTACATCTTTACTTATTTGCTGCAGTAACACCCCAATCTGATTCATTTAACCACTTCAAGTCCGACACTTTTACCCCTTCCTGTCCAGGCCAATTTTCAGCTTTCAGCGCTGTCACACTTTGAATGACAATTGCGTGGCCATGCAACACTGTACCCGTATGAATTTTGTAGCATTTTTTTTAGAAACAGATAAAACTTAATTTTGGTGATATTTTATTTTTTTTGCTGTATAAATGACAAAGTCCAAACATTTTGAAAAAAGTGATATTTGGCCCTCCTCTGTAGCCCTCAATTGGACCCTTGTTGGGGCTTCTTGATCCTCTAGATGGATGTGATCTTTGACCATTTTTTTCTAATGATAAAGTGGAAATGAGAAATCCAGGAAACGCGTTGACGTTTGAAACAGTCTACCATATCTGCGACAAGAGAATTTAAAAACTTTGTTGATGGGATTACCCATTATCAGTTAATGTTGAATTAGTTTGCCCTTCCATATGCACCTTACTGCTACGGCTGGTTATAGGTTGGGATGGTTGCTTTTTTGTGTAGTTGATTTAGTTGGAGCATGTGACAGAGAATGTTATTGGGGTCATGATGTTAATATTGTTGTAATCCTAAGCAAGACTGATTTTTATACAACTGATGTATTCCTAACATTTTTTTTAATGGAAAATGTATTGTCATACAGTGCTTCAAAAGTCCTATCATCCTTTATACTGTGAATCTTTTTAAATAATTTTTTGTGGTTTATGGGATTTGGCTTGATATTTAGAGGCAAGCTTTATTAATAACTTAGGGTGGACAGTTTTAATGGGGGCAAATAGGATGGTTTTTAGACACAAGCAGATAAGCTCCAGGATTAAGAGACCTCAAATGATAGTGACAGGGCCGTTTTAATGAGCAAGACTAGGCACAAATGTAATGTAGATAGGCAGGGCACAGGCAGGTGTTTTCCTACAAATAAGAGACAAATGATAAATTAGTGTAAAAACTGGCCAGCAGCAGTAACAATATGTTGCAATGTAGAGAGACATAACACAGTCAAGTGTTTTCATACAAGAATGAATACAGCATGCTGTTGTTAGAGCTGTGTAAAATTGGTAGCAGCAGGAGAATTTTTAATCAGAGATAACAGGCCTTACCGGTGTGTGCCTAACTTTTATCTTTACAATGAGGATAGGGGGGTGCAGTGAATGATAAAGTGTAAGGTGGTTTTGGTTCACACTGTTTTTCTTACATTTCCAATAAAAATTCAGCTTTGCTCTGCCTTCCTATTAGTCAGTAGTCCATCACATTAAAGGACCAATAGGGACACTCTGGTGGTAGGAGAAAGTGGGACCAAGGTCCTTTTTTTAACAGGAAACGTCAAGATCAGCATATAACTTCAGGATGTATCTCGTGATATACTGATTATTTTAACATGTAGCTTCTACTTAAAGTACAACAAAAGG